ACTGGAATTGGTGGCCTGTATTTCTCAACAGCAGGTTGATCAGAAGCAACTGAGTTCGAAGCAACAGATTCAGAGCTCAAGGAGATGTTGGTTTGTTTGGTGGTTTTCTCCTTGTTCTCATCTTCTGCTACTTTACTATCAGACACACTCTCTTCAGCTGCTTGCTTGGATTGATTTAAGGATTGATCTGCAGGGGAAGTAGAAACGTTAGCATTTTCAACATTAATAAATCCTCCTGAAACAAAACCAGATGGCTTGCCATAAACCATGAATGGTTCGTTGGTAATCTCCTCTTTAGACAAAGGTTGATACTGATATGTATGATTAAAAGGAGAAGGTACACTATCGTATCCTAAACCCTTTGATTGATTATGTTTAAATTGCATGTAATGGTCTATCATGTTGGCAACTACTTCGCTTGATACATCAAACTTTTTAAAATCAAAATTTGCAGTTTCAAATTGCCCTTTTAATGTATCAAGCTCGGTAATTAACTCAGCATTCTGTCTCTTGATATAATCATAATGTTCACATTTTTCACTGTAGTCTTGCTGAATTCTCTTAAAGTCCTTTATTTTTATTTCTAATTCAGCCTTCAGGGGTTTCTGTCCTTTCCTGAGTTGATATCCTTCATATATCAGGTCCTCAACTTCTCTTTTTAATAAATCAATTTGTTCCCGAAGAAATTTAATCGTATCTTCACTAGATAGTGTACATGAAACTTCACATGATTGAGAACATGAAACTTCATTGACCGGGAGGTTTGCGGAACTCATTGTTTTTCCACACTTCAAAGCGTCAATTTCTTCAATTATATCAGCTAGACTAAGACGATTGAGATCTTTTGTCTTCTTGATGACAGCCATGTTCATATCCCACGATTTCGGAAGTAAATTCAATAGCTTTTTGTTTATCTCAGATTTAGTCAAGAAGATCCCAGCTATAGTCATCTCAGTAGTGAGTGTGGTAAATCGCTGCAACTGAGTTTCGAGGGTTTCTCCAGGGATATAATCGAAAATGTTGAAATTTTGTCTTAACATATCCTGACGACTCTCTTTCATGTTTTCAACTCCCTCGTAGACCTTAAAAGCCATTAAAAAGCACAACTAGAAGCCAAAATCAAACTTAAAAGTCAAACCCTTTGATTATAAACCTCAAAAGTCAACCTTAAAAGTCAAATTTAAAAGTTAAACTCAAAAGTCAAACTTAAAAAGTCAAACTTAAAAGTCAAACCGAAAAGCTAAATTTGAAAATTTAAAAATTAAACGAAAAAGGTCAAAGTTTAAAGTCAAAGTCAAAATTTTTGAAGACAAAAGTCAAAAATTAAAAACTATTATTATTATTATTATTATTATTATTATTATTATTATTATTATTTTTATATTTTGGATGAAAAAGGAATATAAAAATAAAAGAAATTTAAATTTTGGGTTAAATGTGTAAAAAATGCGAAAAAGAAACCGAGAAAGCGAGTGTTTAAGAATTAAAAGCGGGGGTTACGGAACAATAAGGATGTTAGAGGAGTTGGTTAAGGCGCTGGGTTGTTGAATCAGAGGTCCCGAGTTTGAACCCCGGCACCCCCAATTCGTTTCCTATTTTTGATATGCGAAGGCGAGGATGCGAGGACGATGTGCGAGGCTTGCTGAACGAGGCTGCTGATTGCGAGGCCGGAAACACTACTGGGCCGCAAACTCGGACCGCAAGCTCCGGGGCCGTAAACCTCAGACCGTAAACTCCCGGGCCGTAAACTCCGGAAACCCTATCTGTAAACGCCGCCGCCGACGACCGTAAACTGTTTCCAGCCGTAAACTCCGGCCGTAACCCCTTCAAAGGTCGTAAACCTTCAACAGATTCGCGAAAAAACGACGTTTTTCACCCTTTTTTGCTCCAAAACTCGATCAAAAACTCGTTTTTATGAAAAATACAAAGAAGAAACCCCCCTTAATTTTCAGAGATCTATCCAAAAATGCAAAAATATTTAGAAAATAAGATAAAATAAGCTCCAGATCTGACAAAATTGACTGATACAATCCTTGCTCTGATACCAATTGTAAGTCCCCAAATATGCTTGTGTATCAATCAGATCCAATTGATGGTGCGGAATCCCAATCAATTGGATGATGTCGGATCAAATAGAAGAGAAGGAGAAGAAGAATAATATGAATCTTGAATGATATGATTAGAATTAAGTTCCTTACAATAGATTCACACACACAAAATGCTCTCTTCTTCTCTCTAGTTTCTCTCTTCACACGTTCATCACTCTATTCCTCACACCCCTCACCCCTATATATACTCGACTGGGCAGCAAACTGGGTTTACGGCCGTAAACGGAGTTTACGGTCGTAAACACCCATTGGGCCGTAAACAGGGTTTACGGTCGTAAACTTGTTTACGGCCGTAAACACTACCTGGCCGTAAACCTGACCGTAAACACATATAATATTACAGAAAATTACAATCAACTACAAAAGCAAAGTATAAACCATATTTTTGACCCAACATACAATCATGTAACCTAGAAACTGGGAGTTCCAATCAAAAAAAAAAAATAAAGAAAGTGTTTTTTTAATTCGTAATCATGGAGTTGCCTTGAGAGGAAATCTAGGGCTCATCGTACAATTCTACACAAGAACAGGAGAAATATTGAAATATAGGCTTTGGTGAAATTTGAAGAAGGGCTTTATGTGAGCATAACACTCGATAGACTAAGGGAAACCTCAAAACGATTTCAGTTGACGGTCGATCGATTCCACTTCGTGATGAGCTTTATTTGAACTGCGAAATTAGAAAAAAGGCTTTTTATTTTATCGATTGAGAAGCATGATAGTAAAATAAAAGACTCACATTTTATTTTGTCACCCGTACTTCATGTACTTTTTCGATTATGACACACAGACATGACATAAAAAATGTATATCGTAAATCCTTCAATTTTCACCAAAACAATGACGTTTCATTTATGACACATGAATTTGCGTGTCATAAAATCAGTGCGTGTCATTAAAACCTGTTTTCTAGTAGTGATTGTGTGGTTCGTGATATGCCACTGCAAGGAGGGGGCGGGGTGGACACTACACCACCTGATACGATGAATACGGTACCCTCCACTGCATGAAGCAAAACAACTACACAACAACTTATCTCTTTTTTTTTGGAAACGGCAAATATATTAAAAGCCACATGATTAGCAAGTAACTAGATCATGGGCAAGATTACAAAGAGTACAATGGCAATTAACAAAATTAAGAGGAGAAATACACCAATCAATCCAACTACCGCACGATTTGGAACTCCTATATTTAAACCACGAGAATGATTGAGAGATAATATCATCCACTATCTTTGTCGGGGTAGTAATCACCTTATTATATACCCTATTGTTCTTTGTCGGGGTAGTAATCACCTTATTATATACCCTATGGTATACCATCGGGGTTATTGTTATAAAAGCCCTTAAGTTTTCAAATAATTGTTGGTTTTACCCTTGAAGTGTTTTAGGCTCATTAAAGCCGGATATTTAGAGTAATTGCGTCAAAATCGCCATTTAACAGGTAACCAACAGGTTACCCGGTTACACTCTCACGTTGTTTCAATCCCCACCCACCGTCATCTTCATCCCCATACCTCCTTCTTCCTCTTCTTCTCTTTGCTCTTATCTTCTGAATCTAACCTCACGTGCAATGAATCAAACCATGATGGTCTCCCTTCTTCTTCTTCTCTTCTAAATCGAACCCCAACCACCATGAAACCCGATTCAGACCTTAAAGATTAGGGCATGTGACTGATCAGACTTTTCTTCCTCCATGAAATTCGATTCAGATCGACATTGGGTGATGAACGAATCGATCTCCTCCACCATCTTTCCCTTTCGATTTTCCAGATTGATATAAGGAGCTACCCTACTTCTGTCATGCTCACATACATCAGATTCCATCATTGGAACATGAATCAGAGAAAAGGGGTTCATCACGTGTTCATCACCTTCATCACCCAATTCAGACCTTGGAGTCAAGGTCGCACCTGTTCATCAACCGATTCAGACCTCTTCATCTTTGATTTTAGGAAAACACATCCATTTTGGGGTTCACTAATATCTGTTTTGTGATTAAAATTTTCACACAACACACAATGTATGATTTGCTACTGATTTATGTGTTATGTGTGTATTTTTGTGTTCTTTTGTATTTCCAAGATGACCATGGTGATTGGTGAATAGGGTGAATGAAGAGGAGAGTGTTAGTGGAGGTGGTAGTGGACGATATCAATGTATTTTTGAAGTATCATGTGGACGATATCAATGTAGATATGACATCGGTGGTGGATTTCAATGATGGTAACAATGGTGGATTTCAGGTTTGATGCTTTTGGAAAGCATGATGAACAGAGAGAATAGGGGACGGAGAAGAGGATGAAACGGTGGTGAGGGGCTGCTGTGTGCACCTTTAGTTGTGGAGAATAGAGATGGTGATAGTTGAGATGAGGAGAGTTTGAATATCTATAGACAGAAAATTCGATTTGCAGATGCGAAGGTGATGGAAATGGAGATGATTTTAGGCATCTATAGATCAGTGGGTTAGATGGGTTCTATGTGACCGGCAGTTGACTGGGAAACCCCCTAGAAGGGCATAAGTGCAGTAATTAAATCAAATATCCGGCTTTAACGAGCCCAAAACACATCAAAGGGTAAAACCAACAATTTTTTGAAAACCTAAGGACTTTTATGACATTAACCCTATACCATCGTCTTACCTGACGCCCTTTTAATTAGGATACTACTAATTATGACACGTTTTGCCTACAACTTAAACAATTGTTTAGTTCGACTCTAAAGGGAAACAGCAAATAAAGGGAGGACACACACTTGCTTTTTTTCAATTATTAACTTATTGTACAACTCCTACAGCCCCATTTACATCGTATCAATTTTCTATAACTTTGTGTTAGGATATAATACATTCTTAGTGGAAAATACCCACATACAATTATATTTTTTCTTAACACTTTAATTCCATTAGCATTCTTTTCTTTTTCAACTTCATTCTTCAATTCAGATCACCACCAACCACCGTCAGAAGCTCCAAATTTGATCAGGTTAGTTTTCGTTTGTACGTGTTCTACCACTGGTATGAGCCTATGAATGCGAACCAGATGAAATTCAGTAAAAGGTCTACTTTTAATTTATTTTTAAAAATTTTATGGCAATTGATTTTTAATTTTTAGAGCAACTCAACTTCAGAAATTTATAGTACCAAAGCCTTCAATTGTTTACGGCACTATAATTTGGGTATTACGTATTAGCTATTTTTATGGAGTTATCAAGGTTACTCTAGTTCCCTTTTATTAAATGAAATTGTATTTGGAAATTCCAATCTAAAACCATATTTTAGACTTTTAATTGGTTCCAAAACGTTTTCTTAGTTTAATACGATAATGGCATGTAATCTACAACCCAAAATTCTGAGTAAAATCTGAAGTCATGGAAGTTTGTTCCTATCGATTGTTTATATTAGTATATTAACATGTCTTTAAGTTCCCATTTGTTATTTAACTAGCAGAGGTTCAAGAATTCTTCTTTACATGTGTTTAAGCTCCCATTTGTTATTTAATTGACAGACGTTCAAGAGACTTTAGTTGCATTTCAGTTATACATTTATAATGTCTCTCATGGAAGGAGTACAACACTTAAAAATTCCACTTGAAGACATAAAGTTGGCCACCAATAACTTTGATGATGAGAATTTCATTGCACATGGTGGATTTGGGAAGGTCTACTTAGGCCAACTCATCTTATCTGGACAGCATATCACCGTTGCTGTAAAGAGGTTGGACCGAACATTTGGACAAGGGAACCGAGAGTTCTTTATGGAAATTCAGATGCTTTCGTGCTATAAACACAAAAATCTCATATCTCTTATTGGGTTTTGTTATGAGGGTGGAGAAAGTATCCTCGTGTATGAGCATGCAAAACATGGAAGCCTTGACAAATATTTAAGTGACAGTAACCTATCCTGGACACAACGTCTCCAAATAAGCCTTGGTGCGGCATGTGGCTTTAATTACCTTCATAATGACGTGGGACACCAACACAGGGTCCTGCATCGGGACATAAAGAGTTCAAACATTCTCTTAAATGAGAATTGGGAAGCGAAAATCTCAGATTTTGGATTGTCAAAAATAGGCCCTTCAAATGTTGACTTAACTTTTCTTGTCACTAATGCTTGTGGCACTGTCGGCTATGTTGATCCAGAATATGTAAGAAGCGGCATTCTAACAAAGGAGTCTGATGTTTATTCATTTGGGGTAGTGCTATTTGAAATCTTGTGTGGAAGGTTGGCACTTATTAGAACATATCAAGATGAACGTCGCGCTCTTTCTTCGTTGGCAAAAATGTATTGTGAAGACAACCGATTAGAAGAGATCATTGATCCCAATCTCATGAATAAAGTGAAAGTAGCATCGTTAAAGCAGTTCTCAATGGTTGCATATCAATGCTTGAGGGAAAATCGAAGTGAACGCCCAACCATGGGCTGGATTGTTCAAAACCTCCATAAGGCATTGGAGCTTCAAGTAAGTTTCATAAGAAAGACTCAAATTAATGTCATTTTAACTCTCTATTTCCACCTTTGACCTTGAATAATTATATATTTCCTTTGTTGCTAGGATTCTAGCAAAGGATTTATTCGGGTAGGAACTTGGGGAAGAAAAAGTGAAGATCCTCAAAATAACTGGTCTTTTGAACTTGAGAAAGGCCATAACCTTGTGAAGATAACTATTGACCATGGTGATGTAATATACTCTCTTATGTTCACTAGTGAATCTAAAGGTGTTTTGCACGATTCCGACAAGTGTGGTGGTTTGGCAGGTGGAGAAACAGTTTCTGAGGTAAGTTGATCTTAATTCCACAAATCAATATGTATGACTTTTTGTAACATAATCTTTGTGGCGCCATGGCGGCTTATTAATCAGGTAATATTCGAAGGTGATGATAAAATAATTAGGATTAATGGAACCACTGGTTTTCAAGATGGTTTTATAATAATTTCGTCACTATCCTTTGAGACGAACAAAAGGACCCATGGACCATTTGGTCGAGCAACAAAAAATGTTTTCTCTATACCATGGGACAAAGGCTCGTTAGTTGGGTTTTATGGCGTTGCTAGATATTACATAGATAGTTTTGGCATATATGTTAAACCTAATGAGGAAATCATAAGGGTTGGAACATGGGGAAAAACTCACCCTGGAAGTCCACAAAATGTTTGGTCGTTCCAACTTGAGAAAAATCAACATTTGAAGAAGATAACCATTAAGCACGACGATAGCGTAATCTCTCTCATATTTACCACAAAAATATAGAAGCTTAACACACACCTCTGAAAGGGTTGGTCATGATTGGATTGGTTATATTCCGGATAGCGAACGAACCGTTTCTGAGGTAAACGTTTCATAACTCAAACAAGTCAACATATGTAATCGTTAAAAAAAATTATTTGGTTTTTCGGAAAGGCGTGTTTCTCAAGAGACACATATAATCTTACATTTTTTTCATGAATAACGAACTACATCAATTCTATGTATATATAGATCATACATATAATCTTCTATTCATTTTCTGAATTTCTCCCTTATGCTATAATTTTGTTATTTATATAGGTATTATTTGATTGGAACGAGGAAATAAATTCCATCAACGGAACAATTGATTTCTCAACGGGATACTGTCCTGGCTACAGAGTAATAACGTCAATATCATTTGTGACAAACAAAAAAACCCATGGACCTTTTGGTAAAAAAAGAGGTGAGCTTTTCTCGGTATCATTTGATTGTGGTTCTTTTGCTGGATTTTATGGCCTTGCTGGCGCTTATATTGATAGTATTGGCATCTATTTGAGGACTCTCTAGTATGAGATGAGGATTGATGAGGAAATATCTTTTTGTTTTTGTTAGATTTATGGTGCATGGTGTGTTTGTTATTCGAGTTTTTGTTAACATTTTTATTGTTTTTATATTCTGAATTTGATAATCATGCATCTACCTTGTAAGTATATGCAATCAAACTCTCATTTAATCATGATTTCAATGATTTCAAAGGGTTAAAGAGCCCGGTTTTGCAACCGGGTTTGATGCTGGCCAGTCCTATGTGAAATTCATAATAGACCCCGTTTTTAAACCGAGCATTTTTATGATAAAAAGAGTCCGATTTGCATTCATATAACCGGGGCATATGACACCTTGAGTGCCAATTTTATATGTATATTAGAACCGGTTCCCTTTTGTATAACCAGGGCATATGAAAACAAAATATATACCGGTTCAATACAGACAACCGGGTCGTAATAGACTTTTAGCCTCTTTTTCATATTAGACATAGAACCTTGTTTCTAGATAAGCAACCGGCTCCTTTTAACACTATGATACATTTTTTTTAATATCCTTTTATGAAAATAACGATACAATAGTTATAGACTATCAATTCATAACATAGAGTGTAGAGATAAACAATGTTTTTTATGTCGACATGTTAAATAAACAACCATAATAAAGTAGAATCAAACAAAGACAATTGTTTTAAGTAACAAAAAAAATCATGGATTTGGTAATTTCATACATCATACAACTTGTATGAAAACTTAATAATAATAATAATAATAATAATAAACAAATAAAAATGTCAGAGGGATTGTCCAAAAACTAAATTGTAGTAGCTCTTTCCTTTATCCTCACTGAAAAACAAACAAAACAAAGTAAAAAGGTAAGAAGAACTCCAACAATTAAAAGATAACTGAACTAAAGTTAGGAAGTTTTAAAATTCAACAACTAACCATATATGTTTTTTTATAGGACCACATCCTTTACATATTAAAAAGGTATTTACTGTGCATGGAAATCCATATTGTCTTGTTATCACGGAATCAAACATCCATCACATTACATAATGACCACTCTCTAAACCACCAAGTTGTTGGTTGCACTAAAAATTGTAGCAAAAAGTAAAGATTAATCAAACAAATGAAACTACAATAATTATTTGTTTGGGTATATAACAAAATGAATTACCTCACGAAAAATCCAACCAATTGGAGTTGAAGTGTCTTTTTCATACCTCGTGAAAGCCCTTAAAAGATATAAATAAGTGTTGTGTTCAAAATTATAAAAAGATTTATCCTGCTATGATGTAAGTAATTTCTTATATGTCCACATGTTTTTTGAGCAGGTAATGGTAGTTGACGGACTTTTCTATACGATTCTTAAGAGAATCCAAAATATACACAACGTGATTGCGAAGAAAAATCACCAAGAGCATCCAATGCTTACTAGAAATGTTTAAACATTTAGTATAAATAATAAGCTAAAAACAAATAATAATAATAATAATAATAAAGATAGCAAATTATTGTAGTTTTGCAAATATGGGGCAACGAGAAACAATTTTCTTTGGTGAAGACGCATGGAATCAACAAGATAACTAATGACACCCTCTGGGTATTTCTGTAATGCCTCCCATAGAATATTATAAGGGTTCAAGAAAGCACATTTGTTCATACATGTCTGAACCATTGAATGAAGAATCCTACAATCAAGAAAACAAAAAATCTTAGGGTTAACTAATAATAGTAAAATTTTAATGTACTTACATTTGCCAAGCAGTTATGACCGAAGCATTTGTTGTTTGTTTTCTCAGCAATCGAAAATATTTTTCAAATGTATCCGAAAAATCATATGTCCCAACTTCCAATATCCCAGAATCGGCTACAATGTTAACCACTAAGTTGGTCTTCAAACAATCAAGAAGATATTCAACCGGCCTTTTCTTTACTGGCTGTTTGGTTGGGTATGTTCTTGTTTATACGAGCTCATGAAACTGTTGGCGCCAAACTTATGGTTGGAATTTGTTTCTTCGTTTTTTCTTCCTACATTTTAACTCATTTAACTATAATGTATAATTATAATTTGTTGTTTATATAGTACCTTAAAAAGTAAAGGATAATCCATTTGTACCTTTGCTAAAATAATTGCAATCCGCGACCATTGAATTACAGTGCCAACTGCCCCTTGTAGATTAGAAACTTCTTTTGTCATCACAAGAACATAAAAATTTTCATATCTACTATTGATGTCGTCTATCAGAACCTTCTGGTGGTTTTCCTGTAAAGGCAGCGAGCGTATTAACCGATTTCCATATGGAAAGACCAATACCTTGGCACATTGTTGGTCCAACTCCCTATAGGGTAACACCAATTCACAAGGGGTAGCCATCTGGAAAGAAATAGTAAAAATAAAATAACTTTGAAATATAATAAACAAAAGAGAACATAACATTGTAATAACTATATTTTAGTTTTTAACCATTCTAAGTATATCTATTATAGTTCAAATCATTTTAAGAAAACATTTTAATTCAAAAACTAGAGTCTTTTTTCTCGATTATACATCCACAATGATGATATTAAGTCAGGCTCAAACACAATTCTTACAATATTCCAGTTTCTAACTTTTTTTATTATAATTCTTATAATTGTTTTGATTTTAAAAAAATCAAATACAAATATTATAATAAAGCAATTTGTGCTATTATAAGAATAAACAAATAAATAAAGTACCACTTTTGATGATATAGAATCACACTAAATGCTAGACCTCTTGGTTATTACTTAATTTATAATTTACTTATGGATGAATTGAGGGAGATATACTAACAAATTTAGTTTTTATTGTTTCTAGATGTTATTGGAAAATAAATACCCTCATTTACCTTTATTGCATACAAATCATTTAAAGTTGGAGTCGAGCCATAACTATTTTGTTGAACCCCTAAACTTACATCATCTGAGGCATGGTTCCTAGACCCCTACAACCCAACTTATGATTGTAGCTTTGCCAATTGGGAGCTCATCAGATCTAACTTTGCCTTCATCTTATCAATAGTTTCTTTTTCATGTTTTTTCCTCTTTTTTATCTGTCCCTTGCATCCCTTTTCTCAATCAAATGTCAGGACCAACAAGCCTGGTATGACCTGGGTGCTTCGGCCCTATGACTTTTGTCAACAAATCCTCTCCAGGACCGAGCACCAAATCTCCTTTAAAGATTTAAGTCTGGACGTCGACCTGTTAACGAAAACAACAAAATAGTGAGAGTAATTACTTATAAATTATTAAAAGAATTTAGAACCAACACCTATCTTGTTAGGTCGAAAGTTGTTGTGAGAGTCGAATTATAGTGTCTTTGTCTTTGTGTCTGTAAATAGCGAAAGTCTAAGGGATTTCGTTATCTTAATGTTTTTACAAGGCATAAGAGAGTTTCACATGTCATGTCTAGTCCTTGTATTTTTTGGTCTATGAGTACCCTATAAATACGATAAGTACTTACAGGTTAGAGTAAGAACTTTCACATAAACGCTCTTATACTCGATTCTCTCTGTATCATTTCGGGCATCAATTGAGCTGAAAAAACAGATCTTATTTAGATCTTCGTGTTCTTAATTTCTTTCATTAATCAATTGATTTAAACACATTTTGTTTCACTTTTCAATTGGAATTTGTGACAACCCGAAATTTCTATCATATAAAGTCAATCCAATCAACCAAAAGTCAGACTAGTTTCTATTGCCTTTTAGCCTTGTTAAGGGTCATTTTAATGAGTTCTAAGCCCAGTACACTTTTGGATTGGATGTTGAGAAGTGTTAGCTAAATAATAGAGGAATGAAATTGATCCATAAAACCCATCAAAGGGTGTTCACGGCCGTGAACCCAAGGGTGGCCGTGAATCCCTCCCATATATATATATATATATATATATATATATATATATATATATATATATATATATATATATATATATATATATATATATATATATATATATATATATTTTCCTTCACTTATTCTTCACTTCTTCTTTTCTAGGCCGCAAACTCTCCATTCTCTCTCAAGTATCTTAGTTCAAGAACACCATCTTTCACTCCTAAACACCCTCTTTCATTAGATACTCCATAGAAGCAACTTAGGATCTTCAAATACTTGCCAAAACACATAGATCTTTAAGTGTTCTTCTAGTGTTCTTCACATTTGGGCCGTGAACCCTTCAAGATTGGGTCGTGATCACCAAGTGGGCTGTGAACCACTCATCAAGTTGGGCCGTCAACCAACTTGGGCCGTGAACCATCCATCATCTTGGGCCGTGAACCTTGTTGGGTCGTGAACCTTGTTGGGCCGTGAACACTTCATGTGTTCTTGGGCCGTGATCACACCATAGGGCCGTGAACACTCCTTCAATCTACTAACTTGTTTCCAACACTTCTTTGGTGAGTAATCCTTGCATCCCAGGTTGTTTCCCAATCACCTTTGTAGTTAGATTTGCTAATTACATGCCTATATGAATCAATATATGTCATTTAGGACTCGTTTGTGTCTCGGGACTTCGTTCGTGGAACTTCTCATCCTTATACGAATCTTCAATTGAATCACCCACATAAGGTGAGTTCATACCCCTATAATCAATCTTTTAATTGTTTTAAATGCTTTTAGGGGGGGGGGGAATACAAGTAGAACACAATGATAATTGTGTAAATGTTATTTGTGATAAACATTTTAAAGGATTGCTTATGTGTTTATAAGTGATCAAATCATTTCAAAAACTCTTTTAAAGTTATGTTACTTTATAGTTTATAAAACTCCGTAGATAAATTAGTCTTTTTCAAATCAGTAATAGTTCAAGTAAACATACTAGTAAACTATAATAGGTATAGTTTAGGGGTTCAGAACATATTAAAACTAGTACAGGGAGGAACATACTGAAGGGTTTTGAGCATTCTAACACTCCTATGGTGTACATGCAACCCTAGAAACCTTGGATCTATGTTTTACTATGACACATGCAAAATTGAGTTTCCAAGGTTCTTATCCTATCTAGCATAGCATGGGGAACTTTTAAACATAAATTCTAGAAGAAGAACATACCTTTTGTGGTTTGGATTCCTTGAGAACCTTGTGAGCCTAGCACCTCAAGTGTGATGCCTCAAATGTCTCACAAAACACCACAATACTTGGCATAACCTTGAGAGAATTTCACTAACACCTCAAAATCGGATTGCCCTCTATCTTGTACAAGTAGTCCTGATTTTGCTAGACTAGGGGTCTTTATATAGTTGTGACACAAGTATGGTTACACCATGTAAACCCTAATTGTCATGGCTTTCCATATTCCATGATCCATGGGTTTGTAACCTCCATGGACTATCCATGGAGCACCTTATGGGTTTTAACCCAATCCATACAGACATGTATCATTAGCCCACTATACAAGAATTGATGATTTACACAATCAACCCCATATATTTAATTAGTCTCTTTTTGATCACTTAATTAATTCCAAATTAATTCTTTGATCAATACTAATTATAGTATTATTAATATATTAGAACTTATAATATATTAATAAACCTTAAGTGTCTTTTCTCTCATTTTGGTCTATCCAAGTACTGCAATGCCATGCAACCCAAATGGACCATGCCAATCAGGTCAAGTACATACCCGAAATAGTTATGGACTTAGACACCTTATCCAGCACATGCTATAACTAGTACAGGGAGGAACATACTATAACAAGTTCAGGGAGGAACATACTATAACAAGAACAAGATAACAATAATGTGAAACCACTACTTCACGGCTTAGCAATAAACTTGTTATGTCGCGTTTTGTAACCAGAGTCTCCTGGAGGGAGAGCGTGAGTTTGTGTATAGATCTATACGGGATTGACACCCCACACCTTGCTGCTAGCTACAGTGGGACTTGAAAGTCTGCGGGTGACAAATGTCATACCATTTTCGGTGCCTTTGGAGCGTCGTGTTTTATACTAGTGAAATCGAGTATGGTTATAACCTCATCACATTTTAATTAAACAAATTGGTTTCAAGATAGTCAGTACTTCAGTAGTTATTTTATACAATACTACTGTATACTTTCATTTTCCCATTACATTCATATAGTAATATTCTCACATAAAAGATAATGAAAACTATTTTCTAGTAAAGATAGTTATAAACGAGGGAAAACTTACATCATTACAAACAACAAACAGAATAGTCGAGTCTTAGTACATTCATTTAGAAGGGGGCCTATAATGCTAACTTTATGATTCCTTGATAGATGTATCAAGGATATATATTAATCGGATCCAACAGGCAGTGGGATGTGTGCTTTCCGCTTCATTTCCTGTTCCTTGTTTGGTTGTGGGCTTAGAGCAGATTCACACAATCTACTGTCTATTCGATCTTAGCTAGATATATATTCTGTATACACCAAGTAATCATAGGGAGTACAGGTAGGGTCAGGTCATAGCAACAATTCAGTAAAACCGTTTTCTAGTACAAAACATACTTTTCAAATATAACATTTGGTAGACAAAACCAGAAACTTATCCGTAAAAGGGTTTAATCCATTTTATTAAACCGGTATAACTTAAAGGACCTTTAGTGGTTAATTCTATAATACTTTAGTTTGTACCTCAGGGTTATATATAATTAATATCTGATAGGTAGTTGGATGTGTGCTTTCCGCCTCATTTCCCATTCCTTGTTTGGTTGTGGGCTTAGGGCAGATTTTATTGTCTTCAGATTAATTAATATAGCTAGTATAAACTGAGCGATTATAGAAGGAACTATTGTGGTTACAATTTTTACTAAAGGAAATAAGGGTTTTTCTTAAAGAATGTTTTCATCAAATATAAAGGAACTATTACAGTTAACTCCGTAAGTACCAAATGAATACACCGTGGTTATATACAATAAAGACCTAACAAACAATGGGATGTGTGCTTTCCGCCTCATTTCCTGTTCCTTGTTTGGTTGTGGGCTTAGAGAAGATTCACACAATCGATTGTCTGTTTGATCTAGATTGTATATAACTTGTATCCATTTAGTACTCATAGAAGAAATTGTAGGGTCATTTTTACTTATCTTTCATCATATCAGAAGATATAGGATCTTCTGGAGGAACAGGCGAACTTTTCTAAAAGAACTTTCAACTTACATTACATCACTAAAATACTTATGAACTCACCAGCTTAAATGCTTATCTACTCTTTCAAAATAACTTGTATTCTCAAGAAACCAGTAGACAGGTACGCGCACTGGGATTCAGAAGATAGAGCATAGTAGCTTCATGTCTTGTTTTGTTATTTACTTTTGGAGTCTATCTTATGTGAACCACATACTTTGTAAACACTTTCATTCTAATGAAATGGTTGTTTGTTACTTT